AGCTCGTGGGCTCCTGTAATAATAGTTTCCATTTATTGTGGTGATCGTTGTTAAAGCTGGGGATTGCTGGGTTGCTAGGGACTTCCTGATATGCTCCTTCCCTCATCCCTCCCCTTCACTGCATGGGCTGCTCCCTCATTTTGTCTGTGTGCTTCGTTTCGCGCTCTAGTGCTGGAAAACCCCCAAGTAACCCAAGGATTTTCTGAGAAGTGGCAGGAAAACTCCAGAACTGGCTTCAGAGCAGCCTTTGTGCTGGCAAAGCAGCTTCAGCACAAGTGAAGCTGTTTTGGCTGAGACATACCAGACTCTAGTTTAGAGGCGGAGCGGTATATGAATTAGGGTTGCCAAACTGGGACAGAAGAGACACACATTTTCTTTTCTCCTTATGCTTCAGATCTTCATTTATTAAATAAAATCCCTTAACCCAGGCACAGATTAGGATGCTGGAGAGGACACAGGCAGTGACTGCTGGAGATGGTAACACAGGTTGCAGAGAAGCCCTTTCTTTTTCAGGTCCCTGCTGAAGTACTTGACAGCATCACTGATGTTGAATAGCTAAATACCAAAACACAGTTCTACAGATGGAAAGCTTCTTCTGCAACAAATGCTTATGTCTCTACGTGTGGGAAGAAGTGGTGAAAATACCAAAAAAGACTTGCCTTTCACACAGGCCTTTCTGTTTCCAAGTGCTTGAGCTTCACACTGCTTTGTCATGATAGCATGAGTAACAGGACTTTTAATTTTAGTTTTTTTCATAATTAGAGTTACTTAACTGATTTTTTTTCTAGACTGCTATCAGTGTGGAACGAGAAGGCAGTCAAATCAGAGAAATTAAATATTTGTTTTTCTTGGGTATAGAGAATTCTATCAACTTTTACTATACAATAAAACTCTGACTCGTTGTTACTGGCCACTTCGCTGATAGCTGTTCATATCAAGTCATAGGCTTTGCTTCAAAACCTCCAGTAATCTCTTTCTAAGTATCAGGGAATTTAAAAGGAGATAGGAAAATTACGAACTATTTTTTTATATCCTTTTTATTACAACACACCCTTTCTTAGTGCGAGTTTAGCTTGGGTTTCAGTCCTTTAATGAGTTCCAGTTTGGTAAGTATCCTGGATCCATATGAAGGCCACGTGTGTATTTCCTCTAGACATTTGTTCCTCTCATTACACCCTTTATTGTTTTAACACTTTATTAGCCATTAGCAACTCGTTGTAATTTATTGCTGATTTTACAAAAAGGGTGTAAATCATTTCAAAACAGTTCACTGTGTTTTACAACAAACTGGTCTATCTTCTGGGGAGCCACAAACATATAGAGCACACTAATGGCAAGTACTCATGGTAGAACTCATGATACACATATAGTGAGTAATCGTAAGGGCCTGCAGGTTTAGTTGATATGAAGGCAAATCGATATGTTATTTGCCAAAATTATTTTTCTTTCATTATGCCCAAAAGTAAATGTTGGTTTGGGAATTCATTATTGCTTAAGATGACTCTCATGTTTAAATTGTGGGTAGTAGTCCTTTCAGTCGTGTTACCCCTGCCAGTGTGCATTTCAAGTGTGGTTGGTTTGAGCGGGCAGGAAGCAATGTGGCAGCAGTGGCACAAGCTTGCTCTTATTGAAAGCCTAGGCAGCAGTGCCAATAATGAATGGTCTGAAGGTATGATGGAAAACCCAGTAGAGCGTGTGGAAAGACAGCTAGTGATTTCACTAAACAGCAAAATAAACCATTTTCTGCTCTTATTCAAGAACTTCCCCAGTTTAGCTCAAAACATTCAGGAGGAGCAACGCACGAGAAATTTATATGCTCTTCTTCATGCAGTATGCATTAAATGGATAAACAGAGTGACAGGTTCTCCTTAGAGACTACTAAGATGTAATAGTCCTAAGTTTTAAGTCCCCATTCAAATAAAACAATTAGGAAAAAAAGAAAATAAACCCATTTCTTCTACTTATATATGTAATATTTTTCTGCTCCTAAGGAGAAATCAATTACACTTAGGTAATTCATATACTCAAATCAACAGAAGTAAGGCTTCTGCTAACACTGGAATATATTGAAACTTAAAAGGCATCAGAAAAAAACTAAAAGAAGAGAATTAAGCGCTGAATTATTGGCTCAAAAGCTCCAAGACTGACTGATTAGTTAAAATACTGGACTCAGGTTTGAGAAGCCTGATTACGTTCTCAGCAGCAACTGATACTTGTTTCCATTTAGAACCACCTTGTTGTGTAGGTACCAATGCAACAGCCTACCTCATGGATTAGTTGATCAACCAGCCATCTTCTTCAGTAATGGGAAAAGGCAAACGTGTCTTCATATTCCTTATGTCAAATTTTACACCATAGCAACCAAGCTGCACTAGCTCACTTTTTTTGTAGCTAGCAGACATGGGTTCTATATCTATGTTCAATTTCTGACTCCATCTAATAGGTTAATTTGCTGCAGCATCTAATAAATGAGACCAATTAAGGGAGTAATACTTCAGCTGCCTGTATCCCCTGGAAAACCTAGCTTTAAAGCCTGCGAAGGAAGTAACCGAGATAAGTAAGGTTAGATCACAAACAAACACGTAGCGACTAATTCTGCTGTAAGCAAGGTAAAATCTGGACTAAGCTCCCCTCTTCTGGTGTGAGCAGAGCCTTGAGACTTTGTATGACCTCCGCTGTCAATACGGAGGGACACAAAACTACTCGTCACAAAAATATCTTTCCTCTCAGACAATAAAAACTTTGCCCTCAACTCTGTATCATGACCAGATAATCAATGGCTGAACAGAATATAATGGTCAGTGAGTCTGCTACTTCCTTTGAAGTAATTGAGACACTTCTGCAAGTCTTAAAAGAAATTTCTACTTTTCACTGTTCTGAGTGCAATCTTAATCATATACTCAATCACGAAATAGTCAATCATTTCTCTTTTCTACGAGAGTATAACATGAACCTTTTGTTAATTTATTAATTTGTGTGTTTTAGTAAAGCTTATTGGAATTTTTTTTCCAGTTTTCTGTAATGTATATCTGCAGCAAGGGAATTGCAGCAGTTAGATTGATGATGATTTTGTTCACATCAGTTGCATTGTGGCAGCAGAAATTGCTTATTGCTCACAAAAGAGCTAAGTCTAGAATTCTGACTTATAAAACACTTAACTTTCTTTCACAAGTCTTTCTCACTATTATACCGAGTGGCAGCAGATTTTACTGGCCAGATCAAATGCCACCTAAGGCTGGATCTGCCACATGGCATAGAGAGAATGATAGGGCACAGATACTTATTTCAGCTGAAAAGCTTGCAGACATCATAATAGCAGGTGTTGATAAGCTGTTGATTCTTCATGAACCAGTAGCAGGTTGATGTTGAGTTTGTGAATTCCCTTTCTAAAACTAGTCTGGGGATGGAGACTTTACTGTGGGAACTGTGCAGTTGTTGCAGTGTGGGTGATAGTTCAGGGCTGTCCTTGAGTCCCTCAGAGCCTCTTGGCTCACCACCTCAGTGCACTGCTCACAGGGGAGCATTTTGCCATAGCAAAATACTCCCAGCCTAGTCCTGCATTCAAGTTGCACTTGGAGCGGGGAACCTGCTTTCGTTTTTTGACTCCTTGGTTCTACATCTGGTATGACTCTTGATATATTTTAAACAAATATGAAGGCTGCTGTTTCTTATTCCCTGCATCAGTGGCCAAAAAAATGCTACTCTGAAAGACAGGGATGAGGAAGGTTTGCAGTTGTGTTAGCCACCTAGGTGAGATGCAGCTGCAAGAGAGTCTGCACAACTGTCCCCTCTTCCTCTTCCTCAGTGATAGGAAGGGTAGTGGGATCATGGCAGACAATGTTCTCCTGTATCAGTGTCTCCAGCAAAAATACTGCATGGAAAAATAGACAGTAAGCAGCCTAGGGAGAAGAGGGGGGCATAATATTTCACCCAAAGTCCCTTTTGCTCATCTGTTATCAAGACCATTTGCATCTTTTGTGCTTTGACATCGTGAGAGAGAGAATTTCAGGACTAAATTCAAGACGATCACATGTTGTTTTATTTTCCTGCTGTATTTGGTTTCCGGCACCAAACACGAGGTGCAACTTTGGCCCTTGCAGTGTACCTACCAGAGCAGACAGGGTTAAGGAGGGTAAAAAGGAGGGATTTACCCTAGGCACTGGTTGGTACTTGTGTCTCCTGTGAATGCAAGGGGTGTGTTACACCAGAAAGCAGCCCTACTGAAAGGATAATATGCTCATTCATTTGCTATGTTGGTCTAAGGTAACCACAAAGACCTAGAGCTTGTACAGTGCCAGGTACTCCAAGCAGTACACTAAGATAACATTACCTGGCCCTAGTCCCAGAGAATGACTTTTCCCAGAGTCAAACTGACCAAGCCTTTATTATATCACAAACTATTTAGTTTCTTACACTGCATCAATTTGGTCTTATTGAAGAAACCCATCTGGGAAACTTTCTTAGGACCTCAGATTCAAAAATCCAGTAGGAATTAGCTAAGTATTCTCTTACGTCTTTTAAAAACTCCAGGCTTAAAACTCCTAGTTGTGTCAGGTACTGAGGTACAGCCCCAGCTTCAGGTGTAGCTGCAACCCACAACAATACACCACGATTTGAGTATCACTTTTAGTACGGGCCCAGTTAGTTCATTATTCTCTCCCATGAGTTCAGGCACTTCAATCTCTGCTTTACGCTTGGATAAAGAGTCAAAGCTCTTCTACAACCCTATCCCAGCTCCCCACCCTCTCCCCCCTGCGCTGATCCCCAGCAGAGTTCAAGAGTGCAGCCACGCAGCCTTTGTCAAACAAGATTCCTGAAGCAACTTCCCCCTCCAGCCTGGGGACTGCACAGAAATCCCCTTGCAAGGGAGTCCTCCCAACCTATGCTCAAAGAAGAAAACAGTTGCTATAGTAACCAGTTCTTTACCTGCACTGAATTGGCTCTCTCTTCCTTCTTAATCTTTGGTTTTATTAGTTCTGGATGAGAAGCAGCTCGTCAGGTCAGGGCTGTGCTTGGTTCTGCAGGCTGGAGGAATGGGTGAAAGGCACTGGAGGGGGGTCCTCAACCATCAGGTCGTTGTTGCTTGCTCAGTTTGCACCACTGTCCCTTTGCGACAGTGCCACCCAAGCCACAGAGGGACAGACTCTTTGCTTCCCCTTCCTGCCCCAGCTTGTGTTGGTGCCCTACTGTTCTCCTGTCTAAGAGCTGACCTGCCACCTGCCATCTGTAGCTTTCCTTCCACATCCTTTGAAGCCTCACTGGGATATATTTCAGCCTGCCAGTAGAAAAAGAAACTGGATATAGTCTCTTTTCTTTGATAGAATGTTTTTGTAACTCTTCCTAGGGTTAAAAATGACCACAAAACCCACTGAAAACACTCAGGAAATTCTAAACTGTGATAATCTGTGTCTTTTCCAATATGCCTACTGTGGCCAGGTATTGGACTAACAGTTTTGTGCACTATGAATTCCACTGTGGAAGTGTATAGCTGAAAGCCAAACAAAACTGCTGCAAGGAAGAACATGCCAGAGCCACTAGCTGTCTCAAGTTTGCAACGCAGACAAATTGCCTACACAAGGTGGGGCATGTCCCCCTGACAGCAAGTGGGCTGGCAATGAGGTAGGTATGATGTGGTGACTAGGGAGGGGGAAAAAAAGCCACAGAATTAATTACCATGGATGTAATAATGGTCACCAATAAAAAGCTGCAGAGAATCATGTAGGACAAAGCAGGTAGTGCACCATAACCAGGCACCAGGCACTGTCACTGCTTGTGTTAATTGCTCAGAGCCTGTGTGCTGTGAAGAACCCAAGCGCATGCACTGGACACAAACAGAGCAGGAGCAAGCCAACTAGAAGACTTCCTTCTTATGTTCATGTGGCTTCCAGTAACATGATAGTAAATGCTCTATATTTAAGTATAACACAGTAAAAAGATTCTAGAGTACACCTACATGAATATGTTGCTTGAACAATAGGCAGTATTAAAGTAAAAATGTGCATACACTTCTAAAACATTTCAAAATCTATTATTTACCCAAATAATGAGGTAGGGCACAGACTAATCTAAAAATGTCCCGGACTTCTAAAATGTCTTTTTTCCCCCCTCTGTTTTTGCTTGTTATGCAGCAATTTGCTATGCTAAGCATGCTTAGCAATGGACTAACAAGCTGAAGTGATTGATTTGTGATGGAACTTGCAACTCCAGTTCTGCTGGTTATTCAAGCATGGTGCAGTTTTTTCCTGTGTTAAGATGTAAAAAAGTGGATTCCAGATATGGATTCCAGACACCATAGTCTTTACTTGGGTGCTGATTATACTTAAGCAGTTGGTATCATTTCTATGCCATCCTGGCCGAGTCTCCCATTTCAGTCAAAGAATGGTTTCTAGCTGGTTATCTCCCCATGGGCCATTAAACCTCTATCATGGGTGCACTCAGAGTAAGGAGGTGGCAGAGAGAAGTTTTGGAATCTTTGAGGAGCCAAGCCTGCAGCAATGGCAGCAATGGAACTCTGCTGGCAGAGCCTGGGGCAAGATATATGTTTAGGCAAGAGCTTCAGCTATTCGCCTCACTCAGACACATTTGTTCCTTCTCAGTGATAACAAGGAGCAGCTTGAGGTTAAAGAAAGGTCATTAAGGTAGAAAATGATTCCAAATATGCCACAGTGTGATCATTCATGGTGAACTGACTGCCAAAGAAATGGTCACTGGACTTAGAGCACACACGTGGAGGGCAGACAGGGTAAATACAGGAGGATCATGAGAACAAAGAAGTTAGAACATTTCAGGGGCTGGCTGTGTTCTTACATACACACAGACACACACATTGATTTTTCAAGTGTTCTAGCCAGAGATCTAGAAAGCTATAGGTCTTGTCTGTTTTACACAGACACTGAGGATTTCTTAACCTATCTGAATAGATTTAAGTCACCATTGCTATTTGTAGGAGGAAATGCATTACTCTGAATTTCCCAGGCTCGTTTATTTTATATAAAAAAATATCTCTTCCAAAACATTTTCAAAGTAAGTCCTCTGACCTACTATCTTTGATTAACAATAACTGCTTATTTTATAGGTCTTTAGATTCTGTCATTAATCTTTTTATTGCAGTATTGGCATAAAATGAATGGAGTGGATTTTTGTATGAAACTCCTCATCATCCAGACAAATGGCCTTCCTTCAGAAACAATCACTGATAATGCCCGGGAGGTGAAGGTAACTTTACATAGAGCCAGAGTGGTTTTGTGATATACCTAAACTTCACAACTGTGGGCTAGTTTTTGACCCCAGAATTAAGCTCACTGTTAATTGTTACCAGATTTAGTGCTGTACACTATAGAGTTTTTTAATGTGGGATTTTGTAAGTAATTAATTTAATCCTATTTTTTTTCCATTTTGACAAAGAGGAATAACACAATTACTTATGACAACTAGAAAATGGTCACCAAGAAATTAATCCAGATTAGAAACCCTCTGAAAACAGAATGAAACCCATTGCCCCTCTAACCAGAGCACATAGTACTCAGTTACAGGTATCTAACAGATTTATGAATTAAATACAACATGATATAATTAATTTCCCCTTTCCATTCTGATGATAGCGCGTGCCAACTGAATTTACAAATCTGGTTCGTTACATATTAACCAGTCATCTGGGAATCTGATTGAGTAACACACCAATTGTTGCAAAACCAAGACTCCCATATAAATCATGCCTGAGTCCTAAGTAAATATTGGTTCAAATATTGATTCACATGAGAGATAGGGCTGCAGTTTAAGAGGTTACAGGTGCCGACTGAACTACTTTAGAAAGGACCACTCCCTCCGTGTTCATTTGAAATTCACATCAAAGTGCTCATTTCACTTTGAATTCATGAGAACAGAGCACTTGCCTTCACTTTTGATACTGACACTCTCTATATCAGAACCTATTTTTGATGCACTAAAATCAAAGGTATCACATCGTGTATGAGTACTAAGTTATTCAGTTATTTACACTCCAGAGAGATGGAACATCTGGGAAGATGAGAGTGAGACACAAGAATTTATTTTTAGGGAGCATTAAAAGCAGGAGGAGAGGGGAGACATGCAATCTTTTTCCTGTTTATAGATGCTATAACAACTGCTACACAAATAAGCAAGCAAACAAATGGGAAAAAAGAATGTGAAGTGAAGGAAACATCCAACAACAAAATGAAAAACTATCTTTGACACTTTTGAAAATTGAAGGAATCTCTCATCAGTTGAAGGAAGCTCAAGAGAAAAGGAAGCCCCATCCCATTTGTTTTTACACTAACAAGATGTATAGGGAGATGCATCTACACTAGCAATCTGCTCTTCCATTGCAATATAGCTATCTCCTTCACTTAGCCTGGAATCCCAATTGTTCTTCTGAGTAGGGCGAGTACAGATCGATCCTTCTGGAAACATTTCGGTTAGAGATCTAACCAAGAATGAGTTCCCCCAAAGTCTCCTGGGCCCTTCTGTCTTAGCAAGTCCTAAGCCAGCATCCAGAGAAAAGAGTGAGTATGCTCCATTCCAACCAGTCTGAACAAGTGGACTGTGAATAACACAAGCCAGCTGCTATAAATCTGCAAGTCTTTTAGATACTCACTTTTAAGAGTGGTTCTGTAATTGCTATGTTGACTAAATGAATTGTTAAGAAAATGGTTTACACCACAGAAATGAAGTTTCTGTTTTGAGCAATTTAAGATAAGTACATTTACATAAAAAGACCTCAACCTGACATACCTTTATCGCTTAGAATAGCTCATTGCTCTTATTTTTTAAAGGCACAGAAAATAAATCTATGCATTGTTTTACTTTCAGAATGACACAGTTTTCTTAATAATATTTGTAACAACTGTTGGAATCAAAGCTTAGTCACACCACATTAAACTCTATATAAATCATAATAGTTTGGAAGTGAATAATGAACACCTAACTAGTCACTGAATTCAGAACAATTAGAATCATAGAATATTCTGAGCTGGAAGGAACCCATGAGGATCCAGGTAAACCATCTGAGAGCATTGTTCAAACGCTTCTTTAGCAGTGACAGGTTTGGTGCCATGACCACTTCCCTGGGGAGCTTGTTCCAGTGCTTGACCACCCTTTCAGTGAAGAACTTTTTCCTAATATGCAATTAGGCCAAGAAAACCTTCTCTGGGTGACATCTTTACTGTGATATGTTTTCCACAATGTCATGCAGAAAATTGTTCTTTGAACTCTGTGCAGACTCTCCTCGCCGTGGACTCATCCCATGCATGCTCAACTGAATACTTTTGGCCTGCAGTATCTGCTGTGGTTGAGCCTCCCTGTGCTCCATGGAACGAAGAACAGAGCAAATGCAGTTATCTCTCCATTCCTTCTAATTGCCAGTGGCCATGAGACAAAATCCCCACACGTATCATTCCTCAGCACGTTGTGCAATTTTAAACCCTTTCCTTACAAATGTATTAGCATATTCCTCTGAATTGTGCAAGAAATTCTTTTGTCCACTAGTTGACAAACTAGTTAGTGTTAAGAATATTTTTTGCTATTGCAATCTAGCAGCTGCAGCTGAAACAAACTTCTGGTGGTTTCTAGTTGGTCTGTAGCCATATTTTTTTACCCTACAGAAGCTGCCTTATCTGTCACAGGAATTCAGTTTGCCAGTTCTCTTCAGAATGAGCCTTCTTTTTGGGACAGGATTTGGCCAGACAGAGTTCTGCCTCAGCTTCTCTGAAGACTCTGACATGGATGGTGGGAAAATGCACCCACCCAGAAAGAGCACAGGATCTCCAGCAGCAGCATATGGGACCTCTCTAATGTGACTTCCCGTAGGATATCAGGGATATCAGCTATGCACCTCACCAAAACATATCATGCCTCACAGCCAGATGTCAGATAATGTACACATTGCTGCATCTGCGCAGGAGGATGAGAGTGGCCTTTCCTCACTCATTCTTCCACATATTACTGTGGGATCCGCATCCCAACCACCTGGGAAAGCTTGTGCTGCCATTTGGAGAAACGCCAGCAGCAAATTCAGCAGCAGCCAACATTAGCCTGGGGAACCAAAGCTTGGTGGTACCCAGTAGAATCATGGCTACATTAGACTTACGCTGAAGCAACTAATTCAGGAACTAACTCCAAGAAGTGCTGCTCTGGACCCAATGTGCTCCTTTTCTGTTCAGATAAAAACATCTCAGCCACTTTGCAGTTCTCAATGCAACACTGGAGCAGAGAAAGTACTGTAATCAAGGTGTGATTGATTGTTTCAGCATTCCCTCC